AAGGTCCTTGGTTCAGGCAGAATAATCTTAAGTGTCAAGTACTGTGGTTGCTGTAGCAAAATGCAGTCTGCCTTTCGGTAAGTAAACTGTGCCCTCAGCCCTGCCGGCTAGTTATGTTTTCATCCGAGGAGTCAACAGCACTGTCAGTGACTTGTGGATAACTGGCTGGAAAAGAGCTACTCTTATTTTCCTAGGCTCAGATCCTTGACAAATAGGCTTTCTTCCCTCTGTATCTAGTCACCAAGATTTTTGCATGGAATGTATCAAGAAAGCTGTGGGAAACAAGATTTCCATTTATCCTCAGAGGTAATACCATGTTAGGATCTGTGGTTTTGAGAGACAGTGCCAGGGACTCATGCCTCACTGCTTCCTGCTATCAAGAATCAACTGGAGTTTCTTGAGACACTTGCTTTGCTTGGGCTTTCCATCTCCAGTGGTTCTGAAAAACTGACCCCAGCAGCTCAAAAGACTGCAGATGAAGCAGGAAATCTTGCTCCTTGGGGAGTTCCTCTGACACTGGGAGGGATTTTCCTCCCTGCTAAGGTAGCCTGTACCCCACTGCAGCCAGTGTGTATAGTCTGGGAAAGCTGCTTAGCAGTCATGGGAGACCCCCCCACAGACCCAGTGCAGGACTGCTGTAGGCTGCCACCAAGGGAGCTGGGGACATCTTTTGAGTTAGAAAGCATGAGGCTACATTCTGGTGCACAGTAAAGAATCTGGGCAGTTCTCGGTTATGGGACTTCCCACAGACAACCTAAGCAGGCTGGTACAAGTTAAAGCCTCTCCCTTGACTGCCTAAGTGATACCAAAAGCTATTTCAGCCCCGTTTTAGAACTGGGAGTGAAAAGATGGCCTTAAGGCACTTCTGCTGCTTCTGTTGTGAAGGTACAGTACACAATCTCTTCTTTTTAAGCTCTCATAGTTATTGTCTGAAGCTTTTGTTGATTTGAGAGCTCAGCTTAGCATTCAAATGTAGCTCCCCTGGTTAGAGTGAGATCCTTCTTTCTTAGAGTTCAACACTAGTCAGCAAAGTAACTATTACCTGAAGGAAAAGATTCCCATTGCTTGGTTATGATCTAGGATTAGTTGCAGCTATTGATTTAATCTTGTTGCTGATAAAGGTGGCATAAATCTTTCCGACAGGTGCTACAATGAGCTATGATTGGAAGGCAATAGCCCGAGCCCTGCTCAACTGTGATTCCACCTACTCCATGTTAACAGGTTGTGGCATCAGGAGCCAAGAACGTACCTGTCTTCCAAACTGGTGTGTGCGCGCACACTTAGGCATCAGTGGGTTCCTCAGAATGAAACACTCTCAGACTGGAGCATCCTCTGTTGTTGGTGATAATTTAGTTTAGTTTTCCTGTTAATCACTGTCTCAATATCCTGGGTACTACTTCTGGTACTAAAAGCTGGATCATACCTTCATGAAGAAAACAGAAGAGCTATAGATACATAATGGAGAAGTCTCCTTATGGGATTTCTGAGGTACCACATGAGTTTAAAGACAAGATTTTTACCTTCCTATTGTTGGCAAGGGTGAGGCCACCCAGCTTCACTCACTAATATCCTTATTTTTATGGGGTAAGTCTATAGCTGTCTAACTTCTTGGAGAAATTCCCCTGTTCCCTCAGTTCTCTCTCCTGAAGCTATCCTGCTACCCCCTCTTGGATTGTCAACTGGTGTCTGACTTGCTCCACAGGAATAATGTTGCCATGATCAGCTTTAATTCCTGCGGATAAGAACTGCAACTATCCAGCCACAAATACTTAAGCCAAAATCAACAACCAACACCCCTGAAAGTTAACTCTCCCACTCATGGTTTTCATAGGACTGGAAGGAGATGCAGCTGCTGTATAGGCTTAGCTCTTCCCTCAGATTTTTTGGACAATTTATTATCAGGGTTCCTGGTGTATTGTAGATGTCTATGTCAGTGGAATTTGTTGCAGCATTGTGTTTCAGAATCTCAGTTTTAATCTGAAAGCAGTATATTGCCAGCCCTCTTGGCTGTACAAGAGACTCAAAATTCAATCAATGCAGCATTGCTTGCCAGTATTTCACTAGAGCCAGAAATCTGCTTTCAGCTGTGACCTGTTCTGTTCTCAACCACTGAACAGTTCTGTGGCTACTGTGTAATTTGTCACTTTCCCAAGACACAATTAAATTAATTAGTAGTAGTATTCTATGCCAAAAAGACTACCATTTTGCTTCAACATTTTTTTTCTACCTGTTACTCTGTCCTGCCAGGACCTGCCTACAGCTGTGTCTTGCTCTGTATGTTTTCCTGCCAGGGAGAATTGTATTGCTGTGTAGGTTCCCTGTACTGTTCCTTGGAATCAGGCAGCAGGGGTCTGGAAAGCAGGAAGTAGACACTAGCTCAAAGGCAAGAAACAAGGGAGATGGAATAGGCTGGCAAACCAGACAGCTTGGAGAACAGTGCAGCAGCTGCTGCCTTGAAAATCAAGGAACTACAGGCATTGGCTTCAGGCTCCCCCTTTTTCCTAGACCACCTTGGAGAAGTGGTTTTGAGCTGATCTTCTGAACACTATCCTGGGAGCTGAGACCCTGGGAGCTGAGACAAGGACCCAGGGTCCCCTAACAAAAAACTGTTTTTGAAAATAATGGTAGAAGAAACTCATCAAACAAACATCTCAACAAGTGTCTTCAACTCTGAGTGATTTTTTTGGGGTGGGACTGCAGATATGGGAAATGAAGGAAATTTTATTGTGATAGAATAATTTTTAAGAACTATCAAAACATCTAAGAGTTGTTAGTTGTTAGAAACTCTACAACTAAGTACCTTGTTTCAGCTACTGCATTATATTTTAACTCCTTCTCAAATTATAAGCTGGAAACAATATGTCAACCTTATTGAAACAAATCACTTTGATAAGGTAGCTTCAGTACTTCCCAAATGTATTGTTTCTAATTTGTATTTTGCAGGTAGTTTCATAGTCTGATATTTTGTCCCAGTTCCAGGTGAAGGTTGTAAATGCTTCTAATTATCCACAAAACAGAAGTTTTGAGTTTCAATGATCCCCTATTCTCAAGACAGACTCTAAAATATCCCCCTGTAAAATTTCCAATCGTTGCTTTCATTCTATATTTCCCAGAGGATAGTAACACCTGACGGAAGGAGAGGGATGTGTAAAGAGATCCTCTTAATTTGCCTCTGCAAATATTGTTAAGAGTTTTATTGTAGCTCCTAGGAGCCCTGGTCATGGAGCAGAGCCCTGTTGCGCGAAGTGCTGTACTGATGCAGAGCAAAGCTATAGTCTCTGCCCCAGAGACTTTGCATAAGACAGGAGTTAACAGATGGATACACAGAGATGAAAAAACAAAGGCATAGTATGTAGCTGGCAAAGGAACAGTATGTAGTAGGCAGTGGCATCAGCTCCCCAAAAGCCCATGGTTGTCAGGTTTGTGTAACAAGCAAAATGGCCAGCTTTGCAGAAGCAAGCTTTCTTGGGGAACATCTTCTTGCCTCTCCGGTATTGCATCTGGGTTGAGTATTTGTTACATTCTGAAGAAAACTGAAATGGCTGTGTTATAAATCCAAACAAATGGGCTTTAAAATGGAAATACTACCATGTTTTTAGCTATGCCAAAGCTGCAGGTGCCACTGTGATTAGAATACGCTGTATTTGTAAAAGGAAATAGCCAGCAAGAATAAAAGAAGGAGCATTTTTTCAGATCGAAAGATATGTAAGATTTCCTACTCCCAATTCACTTTGTTAGATTAGTGCTAATGTAATCACTTAAAAGTTGAGGAACTCATCAGTTAAGCCAACTTTCATTCAGAGGCCCACACATCATATGCTGAAACATTTACCCAAGTCCATGCCAAACCCCTTTCTATTGCCAGCATACACACAGTGATAAAGATCTAACCAATGACATTCAGTCACAGCTGGCCACATATTCTTTATGGGCTTATGTGCACTTAAATTCAAAACACATCTAACGAACCTGGGACCTGATTTCCTAGCACCTTACACTTGCTCCCTTAGAGTTTCACCTTGCTGTGAGACCCCTGGCTTCCGATGTAACCACTTGCGGACAATATGCCAGGATAGCATAGTTGCTCCCCCTTCGGCTGCTGAGAAACGTAGCCCTTCCCTTCTGGGGTCCTGATGTAAAGAGCCGCCTGGTCCATCAGAATGGGCTAGCAGCCAGACACATCAGAAGGTTGGTTCCTCAATCGCAGTCGGGTGTCAAGTGCCTTTCCTGGGCCGGGTAGCTGACTGGAACAGCGTGAGAACCTTTGCTACGGCCAGGCATCGCCGCTACACATAATGCGAAACGGAACTTAACAGAGTTCACCGTCTGACTCCACTAGATCCTACTGGCACTTCTAAGTCCCCCTGAACCATCATCTTCCACCATAACAAGGACCATCTAGAGATCAGCAGAGGGTCTGAAACGTTCAGCTCTGAAGTGTTGCACCTCCTCCCTCTAGTAAAGCTCCAGCAGTTCGCTGGAAAGGAGCTATGTTCCGGGAAGAAGCGCGGCTCAGACCGCAGCTACCTCAGGGAAAGG